ATTTGTTTCCTGAACAGAAAGCGCAAATACTGGACTGTCCGTTTCAAAACCGGACACCTGGCAACCCTACCAATGTCAGGGTTTGGTTTTTGTTTTTTCATGCACAGTTCTCCCTTTCTCATGGGCTGTGTCCAGACTCAGGGGGTTTTTCGAAAAAAGTAGCCTTTTTTCGAAAAAACTTCCCCTGCGTCCAGACTCAAGCCGCGTTCTTTCTAAATTAATTCGAAAGAACGCGGCTTTTCTTTCGATGGCGGTAAACCTCATTTCACGAGGAAGAACGCCTTCTTTCGAAAGTTCCTCTTTCGAAAGAAGGCGTTCTTCAATGTAAATAGGGCTTCTTCAAAAGAGAGCATCCAGACTCACTGGATGCTTTCTTTCGAAAAAGCAAGCCGCTTTTTTGAAATTTCTCCGTGCAGTCTAGACGCTCTCTTTCAAAAGAGGCTCTTTCGAAAGATGCTTTCGAAAGAGCCTCTTTCGAAAGAAGCCTGCAGTCTAGACATAGCCATGGAGAGTTCTTTTGCCAGAACACCAGCGAGGGTTAGTTAACTTTACATATAAATTGTTGTCAACCCTAACTGCTCAGTCCTATGACAAGGGGCTACAGCTGTCAGCCCAAGAAGTGGTAGAGGAGACCCCCAGGTAGAGCCAGACCAAGCCCAGGCGGTGCCTCAAGTGAGGAGCATTTTGGCACAGTCTCCACTTGTTAAGCTTTTGACTTGTTTTTAATGCATTTGTAGCCAGTTTTATGACTCTGATGCACAATTTGCATGTGTGGTTTATCGCTGTCTAATCCGATAATTTTTGCATGCTAGGATTCAACCAAACTTGAGTTATGTCCACACTGCAATCGTATTCTTTCTAAAGTAAATTGAAAGAACAGAGAGGTTTTTCCAACAGCGGTACTCCTCTTTCTACGAGGAAGAACACCTTTTCCGAAAGAGCTGTTTCGGAAAAAGGCATGTGTTGATGAAGAGGGGGCATTTCTTTTGAAAGAAAAGGTCTCCAGGAAATAACATAGGCCCAGGTGGACACTCCATCCATACTAATCACAACTCTATAGTTCCTGTCTCGTGCCAGCTCTTAAAGCTGCAGACACCTGGGCCAAGCCTTGTGGCAGGAAGCTGGCCATGGAGCAGCACCCTTATCGCACGGCTCTGTCTGCCACACACTGGGAGGTATGGCAGAGCAACAAGCCCCCCAAGATCCCTATAGCCCTCACAGGGAGCAGCATCAGGGCTCCCAAGGCCCAGCATAGGGCAACAAATGCTACGCACCCTCCTGGTCTGGGGCAGAAATCCTGTCCCTCCTCAAGTTGTGGGGGGAGGAGGCCATCCTGCAGGATCCCCACTCCCAGAAGCAGAATGCTGACATATATGGCCAGATGGCTCTAGCCAAGAGGGGACACCACCCCCACACTTTGGACCAAGTCAGGAGCAAGGTCAAGGAAGCTGCGCCAAGGATATGCCAGAGACAGGGAGCACAGCTCTTGCTCTGGAGTAGGACCTCACACATGTCCAAATTACAAGGAGCTGCACAGAATCCTGGGGGATGGTGAAGCCCTTTGCCCACCCATAATGGTGGACTCAGGACTCAAGACACCTGTGGTCACCTAGTGTAGCCAGACAGGAACCACCCTGTAACATCCATCTTTGCTGGCCTGGAAGCATGCAGGGCACACAGACCAGTAAAACAGCATAGTCTTTGAAAGCCTTGGACAGAAGGCCCGAATATGCAGGCTGCTGTGACCCTGGATGGCTGTAAACAGAGATACGCTAATTGCTGACCAAGAGGCTGCCGAGGAGTGCCCGTGACTGAAACCTATATTGATACGAACACACACTGTCCAGGGGGCAGGAATCTCCCGCCCAGTAAAAAAATGTCCAGTACTCACAATTTAGTTATCTCTCTTGCAAGTGTAAATTAAGTTGAAACTCCCTTGTAGGAACTGGTGTCACAAAGACAGGCCAACACAATTTGGCATCTTAGATAAGAAAGAAGATACGGGCCCCTATGGCTACGTCTAGACTGGCACGATTTTCCGGAAATGCTTTTAACGGAAAAGTTTTCCATTAAAAGCATTTTCGGAACAGAGCGTCTAGATTGGCACAGATGCTTTTCCGCAAAAGCACTTTTTGCGGAAAAGCGTCCGTGGCCAATCTAGACACTCTTTTCCGGAAAAAAGCCCCGATGGCCATTTTTGCAATCAGGGCTTTTTTACAGAAAACAAATCTCAGCTGTCTACACTGGCCCTTTTGTGCAAAAGTTTTGCACCAAAGGGACTTTTGCCTGAATGGGAGCAGCATAGTATTTCCGCAAAAAGCACTGATTTCTTACAGTAGGAAGTCAGTGCTTTTGTGGAAATTCAAGCGGTCAGTGTAGACAGCTGGCAAGTTTTTCCGGAAAAGCAGCTGATTTTCTGGAAAAACTGGCCAGTCTAGACACAGTCTAACTGTTTAAGGTTTAACCTGACTCCTTCAGTTGCTGTAACAGAACCAAGCACAATTTAAAAGAACTTCAGCCGGTCATAAGGGACAGATATAGGAAGAGCTGGGGCATTTGGATCGTGTCGCTTCCAGGCGACAGATCCGTAGGGGCATCTCTCAGCCTTCCCTAGGCTGCCCGCTGCGAAGGGATCCTGTATCTTAGCAGTTAAAATCTGAGATGTAATAAGCTCTTCCTATAAACTCTGGGGCATCTGTCAGCCTGTTGGTTGACCTCCACGAAGGAATCCCAATCCTAGCAGACTAAGACACAGATGTTAAACTCCTCGGGGCGCCCGTCAGTCTCTCCTAGACTGCCCACTGCGACGGGGTCTTGTGTGCCAGCAGTTGAAGACTCGGGTGTAACACACACACACACACTGCCCTGACCATCTGCTGACATCTAGCCGGAGCTCCTTGATGAGGAGGAGGACAAACAGCAGCTGCAGGATGAAGAGGACACAGCCAGTACAATCACCCTCACCCTGGAGCCAGTACCCCAAGCCCTGGACATCTCCCAGGTATCCTCTGATGACGGGGAGGGATCATCAGGTGAGTGCTCAGTTTTACACACATACCAGGGCAGGAGAGGGAGGTGCAGAGGGGATGAGGAGCGATCGTCGCTCAGCCTGGGCAGTGTGCTTCACTCTGTGCACGTGCAAGCACATGCAGCAGCAGTGTGTACCACATGGCCTCAGAAGCTAGCCCTGGAGCACCCATGGTCTCGTGCTCACAGGCTGTGTGGAGGACCCACACACGTCTGACCAATGGGGAACTCCCTCCCACCACCAGACACTGCTGGAAGCAGACTGAGCACACGGGCACAGGCACAGGCACAACCCTGAGCACTTTGAGGGGTGCCATATACAGCACACGACCATGCTTGCACGCTCAAGGAACCATCTGCTCTTGTGGATGGCACTGCCAGGTCAGCTGTGTATGCAGCCCCCATGGAAGGCCAGGCTGCTCCAGGCCCCTCTCCCGCCCATGGGATCCCACTGTTGCTGGACACTTCCCTTGCCAGCTTGTCTGTGAAGATGGAGTGGGGTGGTGGGAAGCATGGTCCCTGGGGCTCGTCCTGCAGTGAAGGCCACACATGGCCTGGCTCACGAGACATCACCGTCCTCTGGCCTAAGGACTGTTAGTCGCTGCTCACACAGGAGGGCATGGCCTCATGCACAGTGTCTGCTTGGATGACTGACCACCTCTCCCTCTTTTCCTCCACAGCTGGACTAGCCATCACTGAGGGGTGCTCCATGCCATCAGAGGCAGCTGCCCGATCCCGCTGGAGTTGCAAGTGCAGGAGGGTCCATGAGGACCTCATGAGGGAACACGTGGCCATCCTGCGTGACATGCAATGAACCCTGGCCCAAAAGGTCTGGGATGAAGCCAAGTGGTACAACTGAATGTGGGACCAGCTTGTGCAGCAGGGCAAAAACTTGTGTACCTCCATCCGGGAAGTGATGGCACACTTGGCTCCTGTTCCCATTGTAGCCCTCCCCACTCTAGCCCCTTTTCCCACTCTAGCTCCCCCTGCCATGCCTATGCCCCCTCCGCTGACCCCCCCCAGCCATCTCGGACCCCACTCCAGCCCTCCAAGTTTGCCAAGGTCCCCAGCAGAGGTGTAGCAAAGTGGGGAGGAAGGGGGACAGTTGCCCCCGGGCATCATGCTAGGGGGGCACCGGGCTGGGGTGGGACCAGAGCTCACACTGCTCTGGCCCACGTAACGCTTTCAACCAGACCCAGGAGCTGCTGGCTAAGTGCTGCCAGCTCTCTACATACTGTGAGCTGAAGCAGCTAAGCTGGGTGGGAGGAGCAGTGGTTTTAAAGGTACGTTCCTCCGGTGCCTGGCTCTCCGGGGGGGG